TCTATACCTGGCACTGGCGCGGTATTTGCTATTATGTTAGACACCTGGTCCAAATGAATTCATCGATTCAATAGAATACAAAAATGGGCCACTCTGTATAAATATATTCATGATGAAGCAACAATTAGAACATCCTTGAAAATTTGATCTGGTCTGTAAATGCAGGTAGAATATTCTCACCACACGGATTATTTGCATTGCATACATATGGCACCGCATCCACGTTTCGAGTATAGTATTGAATTCGTGCCTGTATATTATCTGATGATGATGCATATCAACACAAATTGTAACAAAGTAAAGTCACCGTCCACCCATATTCTAATGTGAAGTAGTCTGAGGTCTTGTTTCTATATACTTTTACCTATATTATTATAATGAAGGTATCATAAAAATCTAACGAGTAAGTCACATTGGTGGTTACTTCACATATCAATTTTAGTTAATTGTTTAGGTTGCAGAAAAAATAGCATGTTTCAATCGGATCAAAAGTGACTTTGTTTGACTCGCAAAATGTTTCTTTCGCTCGGTTCGCTAAACGCTCCGCCGCGCAAATGCAAAATTCTCTTGTCAAACAAAGTGTCACTTCTGCTCCTAATATAAATTGTAAAGAGATAACGGTTATAGAGATCAGCAAGTTCTCCTTTTATATTTTTGGTATTCTCAATTTACTTCAGTATAAGGTTTCATGCTCGAAGTGTCGCAACTAATCATGAAAATTATCTCGGAAAACTAGAATATATTCTCAGCTAACGTCTAGAACTATCAAGCTCAGTGCTCACTCATCCATCAATCAGGAATAGATGTCTTTAACTTGGTCTGTGAATATCAGCTATGGGTTTTCGACTGACTTGAATGTCGTTTGGGCTCTTGAGTAGTTATTTATTGTGGAAGTGTGTTATGGTGGACAAGTCATATCTTCTAGAATATTCGGTGTATCAAAATGAAATTTAATATGGGTAATATGTGAAGAGGAAACATTTCGCATATATTTCACATCCCAGTCACTTCCGGTCTCACCGGAAATGGCTCCGGTTTTGAATTTTTAAATGAACCACCCTGAATATTATAACATTTTTGAATTCCTGAGGCAATCATGGATCTGAATATGACATTTTCAGAAGTTTTTACGCCTACTCCATATTTTTTAATACACTTTCAATATTGCATCTAGGTGGCCATGAACGAACGTGAACTTATCTAAGGACCTCAAGTTTCAGAAAATTATGATTACAAAGTTTTAGTGACAATATATGTGATATATGTAGAAAGAAAACAAGTTGACATAGTTACAATTCCGTGTCTAACTATTATTTTTCAAATGGCAACCATATTTGACAAGCACCTTTCGAGATGAGGAATTTTTGACGAATCTAACGATACTAATTTATAAACGATTGGATTGAAAATAAGGACATGAATTTAATATTACTAAGAAAAGTACTGGATATCAATTTATTCATATTTGTCATGTGTACCATGGATATCCATGATGCATAATATTTTGCAGCTTTTTTTTAGATTCGTCAAAATAATCCTCTTTCGGAGAAGTGCTTGTCAAAAAAGGGTTGCTATTCGAAAAATAATAATTACACACGAAAATGTGATTTGGTCAATTTGTCTTTTTTCTTTCTATCATACTAGTCACTAATACTTTGAGATTATAATTTTCTGAAATCACCTGATCGAGGTCCTGATGCAATATTGAAGGAGACTAAAGAAATGAAATAGGCGTGTGAACTTATGAAAATGTCATATTTTGATCCAGAATTGTCTCAGAAATTCAAAACTGTTATAATATACAGGGAATTCCATTCAAAAATTCAAAACCGAAGCCATTTGCGGTGAAACCGGAAGTGATTGGGAAGTGAAAAATATGCGAAAAATTTCCTCTCCAAATACCATATAACCATATCAAATTCCATTTTGATTCACCTAATATTTTAGAAGTTATGGCTTGTCTAATAGATTCGTTGATATGTATTCATGTATAAATAATGAAGTCATGCGTGGCATTCTGCTCGTGAACCAATTTCTGGAAGTGACTTATTAAATTCTCAATAATAAATAATCTTAATAATTAAAACCTTATCTGTATATGTAGGTAAGTATCCAACAAAAAGATTATTGATTCTGCTTGGCTCTTGTTATCTGAAAATTGAAATGACTCCTGGACTTTTTCCACATAATTGAGTTTTTAACCATTCCTAGCTGCCTTCCACTGTGTCAGAACCAACCAGAGTGGAAGGTTGAAGTGACCTCTTAGTTCGGTCAGAGGTTTGGTCTTCACAGCAAGCACTAGCTCTCTCCTTTACCACAGATTAACAAACCTTAAATCTGTGCCTTTACTTACTAAATTGATGTGAGTGTCCAAAATACTAATCCTATATTTCTCTGAAGGCGTTCTTACGGACTTTATTCCTACTCTATTTCAATAAAATGTAGGTATATGTATAAGTCGGTCAATTAGTGATTTGACTATTTTTTGATTTGTTACGAGGGCCCCTTTTTGATATCTATATAGGCAGGGTTGAGATAAAATATGAAACTTAGTGAATATATTCGAAACAAAAATGGCAAAATTCATGAAACTGCGCAGTTGAGTACAATGACACCTAAATGACACAAGATGCATTCGATGTAATTCTTTTTGTACATAATATTCTTCCGGTTCAACTGGAAATACCCTTAACTTTTTTAATTTACATGTATTTTTTCGAAATTTTGATGAATCCTTATATTTTTAATCCGTACATACTGGGTTTACTGGGAATAATACAGGGTGATTCACAGTGGATGGCGACGATCGCGTATTAGAAGTATTTGGAGAACGGAAAGACAAATCATTCTGAAAATTGCTATGTATCATTAATCTAGCAGTTTATATTCTCCCAAGATATTTCTATAATTACAGTGTTGCCGCTTTATCAGAAAAAGTAGCAACTTGGATATTTCAAATTGAACACTGTGGATTATTTAATTTTCTGGATCTACCATTGATTATATTATCAAGTTTGTACGATATTTCCCTATACCTATACTTCTTATATAATATAATCAGACAATATAGCTAAATGTATAGTTTAGATAAATAAGAAAGTTCCATTGTCATTAACGAATAAATGATTTATTCGAATTGTTTTCACACTATAGGCATCTGGAAATGTTCCAACGAAATGCTCGTAAATTCCTCATGAAATTATGATAAGAAACGCTCATGAATCAGGGTTCTGAATTCCTCAAAGCATTACATGAAAATAGAAATATTTCAAGGATAAAATAGTAGGTACTGTTAGAACCATAAGTATGAAACAGATTATTCGAAACTATTCTATTCTCATAACAAGGAATAGCGAAAAAGGCCTTAATAAATTTGAATTATCTGAACCGCATATCAAAAAAATATATACACATCTACCAATAGTAGTTATACTCATTTAAGTATACTAGAACTGAAATAATTCGACACTTTCAATAATTATTGCTTTCTAGGTATAATGTTCATTTGATTATTTAAAACTAATGGAATAGCAACTGTGATAAACCATAAATTTCCCCCTGTAACTTTCTTGTTCATACAGATATTTGAAAACTTCAGACGCCATCTCGAGGGATTAGATTGCAACTAGAGAAGAACCGTTCGCCTGGTGGGTGATGCCACACTCACCAATTCTTTGACATCTTGAAAAACCGTAGAAAAATTGGTGACCTTTCACTCTCCTATGGATATTTTCACAGGAAATATTCTTCAGAAATCATTCCATCACTAGCAATACCAGTCAGACGAACTCGACCAGTCCAATCAGCACATCTTTTCATCAAATCAAATCAAAACTCGTTTGTCTGTCTGTCTCCAACAATTAATTATCCCCAAAAGTTAAAAAGAATTCCAATACATATAACTTCTCTTCCTATCCTCCTTAGCTACGCACGATGAACATTATAGGGATTCACTTTCGTGTGCTCCAGAAGATCAAGAAAAAAATCCCAATATACATGGTGTCCAATAAGTCATGGATCAAGATGAGTATGGTTGTAGGGGAGAAGGGGGTTATTTCCAATCAAACTAACCGTATATATTATGTGGTTATCCTATAGGTCAGCTATCGTTGAGAGAGGAAAATAATTTCTCTCCCCATCTGTCCTTGTCTCCGGTGTTCCAACGTAGAATAATGCAAATTTAATTTGGAAAATGGGAAAAATGGAGAAGAACATTATATTAACCTCAATATAAAAAAGGTTAGAATGATCTTCTTCTCCATTTCTTCTCATTTCCAGTGTTGCCAATATAAAATTTTCAATATTTTATGTTGGAACACTGAAGAAAATTGGAAAGACATTTTTTTCTGTCTCAACGCTAGCTGAACTGCTATCTATTTTTGATGATTCAAAAGATATCCAATTTTTCTCATTCCTCCTTAGAATCATATGTCGTTTGTTTACTGAAAAATTAATTACAATAAAACTTGATCAACAAGAATTGTATTTTTCACTTCTACAAAAAAACTTCAAAATGTGATTATTGGTACATAGTCTGCATCTGCCAATAAAATGTATCTAAATTATTCCAAAGACTCCTTGATTGTTTTGTTTTCAATTGCCTTAGTTGCTGTGGCTATTGATTGACGCAGCTCTTCCTCTGTTTGGTTCTCCCATGCATAGGTTAATTCTTTGAAATACCCCCATAGAAAAAAACCGTTGGGGTGGAGATCGGAGAAATGAAAAAATGGAATAACTTTTGAACCATCAACAATTGTATAACCACATGTATGGTTACAACCCCACTTAGGGGACACCCTGTATAACAACTACTATTGTTCTTCTAGTTAGGTCCCATAGTTGGAATGAATGAAAATCTGGTGGATTTCTCCCATCAAATCCAAAATAAAGGTCGAATTTGTATAGTCCGAACAAATAAAATGAATCCCAGTTAACATTGATGTATGTATAAATACCTACCATTCTTGAACACCAATGCAGTACTTCCATTCAGGTAATAGTAACGATTAAACTTGCGCTTGAAGCGTACCGGAAGCAGTACCGACAAAAGTGATTTTTCGAATTAAATTCGGGTAGTGGACGCGTACATCTCGAATACAGTGTGTGATTAATATTGAAGATGGATGGTGAAAAGAATGACGATTTGGAGATGAAGCAAATTCAATCTGAGGATATTTCGAAAAAGGAAGGTGAAGATGAAAAAAGTCATGGTAAGTTATACGTCTATACTTTGTTTCTATGGGCTTATGGGCATATTTTTTGAACAATTTCAAGTGGAAAGTGCCAGTAATGAGCAATATTAAATTTCACAGAGTGAGTTGAATGAAGTGAAGAGAATTTGGAATGAAGTATTCAAGTATTGTATAATACGTTATCAATTGAGAATGTTTTATCACTTACACAATTTCAATTACAAATTCAAGTTTTTGTTCAAATTGTCCCCTCGCTGCTTCACAACACATTCTTGCTCTTCCAGTAATCGAAGTAATAATATTTTGAATTAGCTCATTTCTGGTTTGTGGTTCATTTGAATACACTAAAGACAATACACATTTTATGTATCAATGGTAATGATATCAAAAGAGTTGATAAATTAATACGTAGACATAAATTCAAGTTATCACTCAGGAATTCTACCACTCTTCAAGCGGATCAAAACAATTCGAGAAAAATCCTGATCCCTTTCAATCCCAAGTACACAAGAGTACTTGATAATGTTTTCAAAGACTCAGGTTTTGAAAGCCTTTATCAGTCTAGGTCAAAGTTAGGAAATTTATTAGGCAACCCACTTGAAAATTCAGGAATATATGAAATTAGTTGTAATGATTGTGATAAAACATATATAGGCCAAACCAGGCGTCCCATATAAGAACAAGGTTCAAAGAACCCTTAGCACATTTGAAATATGTTAGGTTACATAAATCGTGTGTAGCCGAACACATATTCAATCTCAATCACAATCATAAAACACATATTAATAACGTCAAATTAGTTAAGCAAGTTAGTTTGAAAATTAGATGCATATGAAAGCTTAGAGATATTTGAGAATAGGAATAGAGCCCTCTGTATAGTTTAGTAATATCATATGTTTACTCAAACATGAATAACATTAACTTTGCGGTAATTGTCTTTGATCTTCTCCTGAAGATGCTAACATAGCTAGCGAAACACGTGTCGATGTGTAAAAAATCGGTTTGTTCAGTGGTAAAAGAGTATGTAGTGTATTATCGTGCCAGAGGTCCCAGTCTTCGATATATATAATTATTAACGCCAGAAAAAATATAATAGAAAATATCACACCAAACATTTTCGAACAATTTGAAACCTGTATTTTGTATCATTACCATAGCAACTAAACAAATCTCTTGGAAATTTTTTCCTCCTCCTTGGGGACGAAGCATGAAATTATACTAGAAATTTTTTGACGTTTATAGGTTGAATGACATTTACATTCAACTTCAGATTATTTCGAGTTCATTCTATGAGTCAATAAATAAAAATCATTTTTCTTCCGATTGGCAGCAAATATTAATTTTGCTGACACATATCAATCAGCAAAGTATTACTTTTCCTGCCTAGGCAGCAAAGTGGTTACTTTGCTGATTGATTTGTATCAGCAAAATTAAAAATCCATAAATCGTTTATAATTTCCTTCATATTTCATCCTAGACTTCTCCGGCAACAAATTCAACTCTATATTTTTTGCCACCTCCCTTATTAATGGAGGTGTAAGTATACTTCCAGGTCGCTATCACTGTCCATTATATAATAATTTGAATATACCAATATTGTTTCGCACAACTGTCAGAAATTTCATGAATTGTCAAACCAACAACTGCGATTTCTATCAAATTTTATTTTAATTGAACACTATACAGGATGAATAAAGAGATTGTGGGAATTGTATTAATTCGCAAACACAATATTCTCCCATATCATTATGAACAATCGGAGAAAAAATCATATGTTCAACTCGGCAGCACAGTAGATTGACTGCCTTTGCTGGATTCCTAGCCTCGCTACGCTCGGCTATGAATTCAGCCACGGCAGTCAATCTACTACTTTGCTGCCTAGTTGAACGAATAACTATTTCAACAGTTTACTACCATATGATATTATGTAGGTATACTTCCAATATAATATTTCAGTGTGAAATTTTCTTACCGAATACCACTTAAGATTCAACTAATATCCGGGAATTTTTTCTCAAACACGAATATTTAGTAAATTCGTGTTCTCGAGAAAATTTCCAGAAATAACTCAAAAACGAAAAGTTCAAAGATTCTTGAAAATCATTATGTGGCTCCTTCACTATCGAAACTTAACTTAACCAAATCTGTATCCCTCGTGGACCTCGTGGTTTCCGATATGCACAGTGTATTGTGTAGGTACACACAGTAAATAAGTAAATGATATAAAAGCTACACATTTCTGAAAAACCCTGTATATTATGGGTTTTATTGATGTGAATTTCCGTCGTACTTCCTCTCTCTTCACATAGCCCTCGTGCAACAGAGTTTCAGTTACGTAATTACAAATATACCGTCATTCAGAAGGCCGAATATGGATCAATTTATGGAACCTTATCGTTTATTTATGCTAAAGTTAGAATCAAAACTTCAATGGAATGGCTGCACTGAATCCAAATGGCAAATTAAGCGAACAAAATAAATAATAGATTTCACGGTTTCGACTTATGCATAATTGATTCATTACGCAGATAGCACAATGTCATTCATAGAACGTTCATAGGATATTCTTCACGAATATTCGAATATTCTCAGAATATTCTCACAATATGATACAAATATTCTAGGGATGTTTTATGAACATTCGGAATAGACTGTTTCGAATATTCTGAGAATATCCCTAGTATATTGAAGGAGAAGGAAGGAAATTGAAAAATTCTTGCTCTGGTGGAGATGCGAACATACTATCTTGTGATTGAATTTTTACGAACACTTCAGTATCATTTATTTTGATACGATTCTGAATATTCTCAGAACATTCGAAACGAATATTCTGAGAATATGTCAAATACTTTGACTTCATTAGAATACCGTGAAACAGTTATTTTTTGCGCACCAATTTCGAACGTCAAATAATATGTTCAGCTTGATATAAAAAATAGTGTTGAACTGGTTTAAAAAGCCTTAATTATTGTTGAACATTCATAGAAATAATTGATTTCTTGGATTTTTGGTTGATCCGTCCTCAATAAATTTTCAATTTTCAATTTTTATGCAACCCCCTTTCTTCAATTCGTGAATAAATAATGTATGCCACATATTGAATATTTTTGATATTATTGTTGATTTCACGAAAATCAAGTATACGAAGTTAAAACAATTAAATAATTCTGAAGAGAATAAGGTATAAGCAGCATAATTAACTAGCAAACCAATAGAAATATCACAATTTTTCAGAGAGCTGAAAATTAGGTAGATATTGAATGATGGAATAGAAAACATCATTGAGATCTGTTCAGTGGCGACTCATATATCAACTTTTCGGTTTTACCTACTCCAAATATGTATGGAATGTTTTTTGTACATAATGGTTCTCTTAGTGTGCCTACAATATTGCCAATATTGGTGTTAAGTTGGTTATGAGGTCAGTTTTGTGATTCATCATTGAAAAATGCCAATATTGTGCCAATGATGGTTCACTGGAGTGACATTTCTTGAAAAGGGGGTTCACTGCAAAATCCCTTATTATACTAATCAATAGTACCAATATGGTTCCGTTAGAAAAAATAAGTGTTTTGTCCCAAAAAACATTTTGCTGAATAATAGACGGTATCCCTGATCTTGAATAATCAGTTCAAGGGGGTTCAAGTACTTCAAGTGAAGCATCCTGAACTACCAAGGTTATCAATAATATATCTGGAGTTAATGATGTATTGACAATATTTGTCGACTATCCGATTCAATTAATTATTTATTGACATAAATTTCACAAATGCCTCAAGACAAATCCTAAAGTCATAAAGTATATTTTTAGTATCTACCTATATCTTTAATGCAGCAGTACTACTTGTTCTAGTCGATCGACTCTGAAAATAGAATATAAAGTTCGTCATGCTAGTGATATGAAAATGATTATGTCTTCGAGAGTTCAGTTCCTGACATCCGCAAAGTTTGCTAGTGACTTACCAACACAATTCAATTCGATTGAAATTAATTCCAATGGATTATTGGATGAAAGTGTTCAACTTTTGTTTCCATCAAGAAGGAACACTGGTAGGTATAGCTAATTTGATTGAACTGCGCCCGTGTAAATTCTATCACCATCAAAGAGGAATTATACTGGTAAGTATAATTATGTGATCACATAATGATGGAAACATACGATATACCAATTACGATATGATTTATGTAAAATATCCTATACTCAAGCTCAACAAGAAATTTACTTCTATATTTCTGATGATTCTTTCAGAAATCGAGAGTCAGATATATATTTTTATTTCTGACAGTGACATTATAAGCTTATATCGTCATAGTTACGATATCTATTATGAGGGTCATAATTCCCTTGGGATGTTATAGATGCTATAATTCCCTCTAACTAAAATTAAATAAGAAATGCATAGCAACAACCACGCAGTAACGTATCTCCTATTCGCGGTAGTCAAGATCATCATCTGATGTTCTGATGACATTGAAACTATACGGAAAAACATATCTAACTTCCAATCGGGAAGGTATCTAATGAATGAAATCAGTCAGAAATAAAATTATCTATGTATCACGGGAATTACTGAGCCTCAATAACCTCAGGCAATTGCTGTCCCTCGGGCCAGAGGCCCTCGGGACGCAAACTTTGCCATCGGTAATTAAGGCCCTCATAATTCCCTTAAAACATAAATAACTATTACACAATATAGGTATTTCTGAACAGTTCAGCCTCATAAACTGTATAACCATTTTACTTCGAGTAACATACAGTGTGTCCCACTTACCATGCTCACCATGGGTATCTTTTTAACGGTGAGAGATAACCGACCTCGTATCTCTCACCGTTAAAAAGATACCCATGGTGAGCATGGAAGTGGGACACACTGTATAGTAGCAAATTTGCGGTTTTCACAATGGTGAAGTAAACAGACCGAAGAAAAATTAACATTCTTTGCATAGTATGGCACTATGGCATGGTCATATTGATTGATAATTGATATGTTTGCCGTATTTTTTGCATAACTATTGAGTTTACATACCGGGTGGTTCAATTAAAAAAACAACGAAACACGTCGGTTTTTTATTTGGAGGGGTACACCGTTTGACACAAAAAAGATAATTTATATACTTCACCTCTCTACTGTCCAGAGCAACCCCCTCCATAATTTGAATAGGGAATGAGGGTCATGTTCATGTTATATATCATCGCATCATTCTGATGACACTAGCAGAACAAAGGTTTTTGAATCCCAATACACGTTTTCGAGATATTCGAGTTCAAATGGTATGTCTTCTAATGTCGAGTAAATTAATGTACGGAACGAAGTTATCCACAGCAAATGTTCAAAATAACCTTCATTGAGTACCATAGACAGTGGTAGAGTCTACTGGCAAAATTCATTTGGAAAAATTTTCACTAGTTATACTGCCTCGCATTCAATCGTTATTCTTTTTACAAAATCGTCCAGCTCAGTAGATTCCATTTTATAAATAACAGATTCCAAATGACCCCAAAGGAAAAGAAAATCATTAGGTGTCATATCCGGCGAGCGATCTATCTAGTTGCGCAATTTTGGGGTAAAAATTATCTCACCTGTAATACGGAATAAGGAGGTGCAATTGATGAAATAAACCTCTGGTATACGCACTTCCATCGAACTTCAATCCTTTCCTGTTTTACAATCCCTTATCTCGTTAAGTTTAGACTGGTGCCGTACCAAAATCATAGGCATCAATATGACATTTGTGATCGAATGGTGACCAATGAAGATAGGGAATACATTTTGCACAAAAACATCTCAGAGATGTTAAAAGTTCGAGATTTCGAGACATTGAACCTCCACTGCGATGTTCTGTTCACACATGAATAGAACTATTATAGAACAGCCAATGTCCGCCGCAGGCGGCAATTATCGAGATGTCCTTGATATGTCACAAAACTACCTTCTCCCTAGTTCTTTTTAGAGCCTTTTCATGGACACAACAGAACATTTTCAACGCGTCTTGCGCACATTAAAAAACATTTTCGAGGTACTTTTCTGAAGCCTTTTGTCAAAATGAACTTTTGCATTAGGATTCCATTTCCCTTGGATGAAAAAATGCATTGAAAATAGATTGAACATAAAAATATCTTCTTGATATGAAATTTCCTTCTTAATCGGTTTCTGAGTAGTGCTTACTACACACAGACATATAATTGGAAATAGGTTTCCCAATTTTTGAAATGTTCTCCACAATGCATAATTTTGCAACTGCAGAGAAGCGCGTGTATTGATAAATTCGTACTTTTATATATTGATTACACTGAGGCACCGAACAACACATCTTGCATCTGATGGTCATTATTACAAACTAAATAAGTCTTCTAGCACAATAAACTTCACCAAATTCCTTTCTGTTCGTTAGCAGCGTGATGTTAGCGTGACACGCTGCAAACGCGAATGCCAATTGCGAACAAGAAGAACAAAATCGAAAACAAATCAGAATTCATCGTATTGTGACGTAAGCATGAGACGTTGTGGTGGAGCAAACAAAGAAAGGGCACAAAAGAACAAAAACAATACTTTCAATATCATTCTAAGACCTCTTTGGGAAGTGCATATTACGCCTCAAAAAAACATCCTCATGTCTACATTTCTAAAACATCCCAAAACATCCCAGGGATACCTCTCAGTAGGCAAACAAAGAAATGCCACAGAAGAACAAAAACAAAACTTCAATATCCTTCAAAGACCTCTTTGGTCAGTGCATATTACGTCTCAAAATAACATCTTCATGCCAACATTTTCAAACCATCCCAAAACATCCCAGGGATGTTTGTGCTCGCTGGGCTGATGGTGATCATAAGTTCTAGGAATCACACCATCTGACATTGAATATATGAACTCCACGTCATCGTCTGAAATGCAATTGTTTATATCATAGTAAATACAAGAAATATATATACTCAGAATTCGATTCGAAATTCAAAAATCAAATACAAAATAGGTGCTTCGATTTGATGCATTTTGAAAGATATACATATTGTTTTAAGTGAAATGAGAATTAAAAAAAATCCCGGTTGTTCCAAAGTTTACAAGGAGGGGGTTACTGTATGGAAAATTATAAACAAATGTATAGGGATATCAACTATTTGGTGAGATTTGGCAACATTGGGAGAACATGATACTTTCACCATCGCACCAATGAACTCAAAACTCAATATAATCACCTCATCGCACTCGCTAAGAATAACGGTACCTCAGCGGTACCATCAGCAATAATGCACCGCCAAATGAGTGCTACAGAAGTCTCCTTGCAAGTACCTATAAATGCATGGATAAGAATAAGTTATTCCAAAACCAATTATACTCGTAACGTTAGTATATAAAAATAAAAATGCAATTTTATGTAGGGTACTATATAGCACAGTTTTCAGTAATATTATGTATACGCTCGAGTATGTATTCAGTACTTGTGGCACACCAGTGCATAACTTGTTTTCCTTGAGTGAAGTAATTCGAAAAATTAACGTGGCATTCTCATTACTTCATATAGGTACCATACGGTTGGTTATTTACTTAATGAACTAATCCTATCATCATTTTATCAACTGATAACATTTTCAATGCTTTTCCGGAGTGAATATTTCGTCGATTTCTGATCTATACCGATCTCAATAGCTTTCCAGATGGATGGAATACAAATAATAATGTTACGAATTGAATTGACTTGATTTAATCAGAAAACTATAGTTTGTTTTGGACTCAAAGTGTCAGTGTTGAAAAAACCAAAGAAAAATGAGGATTTTGAGACGAACGTACATAAAGTACGCACCTCTAGATCTGGATTTATATCTCGACGACGCATCAAGTGAGTTGAACTGGTTGAACACTTTTATATTCCCTTCAAGTCAATATGCTACAGCTCCCGATCACTTCACTTCAAAAATTGCTACAACCCGGTTTGGTATTTGGAGCATTGAAAGAATTCGAAATATTGATAATTCTAAGAATGTATATAATTATATACTTATATCATACATACCGGATGTTTCAAAGAGAAAAGATAATATAGTCTGCCTCACTCATTTTGATAAAACACAATTACATACATTGACATTGTAGTAAATTCAAGTTGAGTCATAATATATGGCGGACACATACTGAACCAAACGTAGAGTCACCTTTCGGTAATTCCATTTCGGCCTTATACAAAGTGATTGAGTGGCAAGTACCATAAATTGGAGGGCTTGTAGAAAATGTCTTATTACCGAAATATATATAGGGTCGGCTGAACGAGCAGATTTTTCATTATGTCTTTTCACACAGTGGACCAATGATCTGGTCATGTCGTTCTCAGAACAAGCAAGAAATGGAAAAATTTCGAATACAACTGAAGCACATAGTGAAGTATATTCCGTGGTCATAAGTCATACCTTTTCTGATTACCAGACTGAATTGCTACAAAAAATACATTTTCATTTACAACCATATATGCCATGTTGTCATCACTAACGTCATTGAAGTTTGGGAAGTGTCACATGTTTTATTTTGATTGTCTATATTACCCCAAGAAACATTTCTGTCTATAATAGGGATACATGAATACATGAAAAAATATAGTAAAAGGTTAATTAATGAATTCCACTCAGTGGAAACAAGTGAATATTGTTTCTGGAGATGAAAGTTATAACATTTCATTTCTGTATAATCAAATCATGCCACATATTTTTCATTCAAATTGTCTTGCACAAGTATTATTTTAGATTGATTTCAAATAATCAATTGAAAAAAAATAAGCTTGTTTTATTGGTTTTATTTGTTTCCTACCTTGTTTCAGGTCCTAAATTCGGCAAAAGGCATGGACAGATGCTGATTTACTTTCTCCTCATATTGATCGCATACTCTATTCGAGTGAACTTATCCGTAGGAATAGTAGCCATGACAGATCCGACAGCTAGTTTGAATCCAAATATACCGGTAAGAATTATTATGAATCATAATTTCCAGCAGTTGAAAAAAATTCGTCAACAACCTTGAGTCAGTAGCATAAAATCCGAGATGTTACAAAACATGGCGACACTGTTATGGTGAAAAATACATTATAGAAAGTACATTGCGTATACGATACAATGTTTCCAAATATTCTTTAGACAGCTTCACCACGTGATGACTTTTGCTCTCGATCCTGTCAAATCTCACATTTTGTCGAAATAATTAACAAAATATAGGTTATTTCTCAAAATTTTGCAGAGTAGCTTCAATTTCCGGTATAGTTTTTTTAACAGTTCGATAGAGCTGTCTTTTCTGATTCCTTTGATATCATCAACTTGCATAAAATATATAATTTTCTTCTCATTCCACACGTACAACTGGATAGACCAGCCATGGGCATCTGCTCCCTAGAAGGCCTTCTGCTACTGGTACTGGTGGGGGACGACTGCACGTCAGCAACAAGTCCCTAATCGGACCTTACTGCAAGCCCCGAGGTCCCGAGGTGTCTGAATGAGAAACTTAATTAAAATAAGAATAATTAAGAAAAGCAAGTATTTTCTGTCAGACCCCATGACTACAATAATAGAATTTCAAGCATCAAAATATAAGTTTGTATTTAAGGTGACGTAGAGAACGAATCCAACGAATTCAGTTGAATAAATTATACTTACTTAAGTCCATTCTAATGGACGCAGGTCTCCAAGAGAATATTCCCGTCCAACTGGAGAATTACAAGAGTACAACCAGTTCCTAAAAAAGGCAAAAAGACCCTACCTATAGCAACTACAGACCGATCGCACTGCTATCTATTATTTTATAGATCATGGAGAAAGTATCAACATCGAGCTCATGAAATACCTGAAACATTCAGGTATAATCAACGATAGGCAAGATGGCTTCCGTCATCCAGAGATCAACTGGTGACCTGCTCGCTTACGTCTCACATATATGGCAGCAATCTATTGAAAAATATGATGAAACCTTAGCCGTGGCACTTGATATCTCCAAGGCATTCGATCGAGTCTAGCACCATGGACTCCTTGCCAAGCTTCCATCTTATGGCTTGCCTCCCCAGCTATATTCTCTGCTAGCTAGTTTTCTCTCAAACAGGTCTCTCCATGTAGTGGTCGACGGAGTTTCATCTGACTCTCTTATCATAAATGCTGGTGTTCCGCAAGTATCCATTCTAGCACCAACACCATTTCTACTCCATATCAACGATTTGTTAGAAGCAACTTCATGTCCAGTACACAGCTTCGCGGATGATAGTACCCTGCATACCGCCGTACCCTCCGTACCGCCTCCTCTTCCAGGGCTTCAATACCAGCCAGGCAAATGAGAAACGAACCAGGAAGAAATGTTGACAACATAAATATGGACTCGGCAACAACTCCCGAATGGGGATCCAATAACTGGGTAGGAGCTATTTCACTTCCAGTCAGCTGCTTATGATCTATAAGGCACAGATCCGACCTGTCCTGGAATACTGTTCCCATATTTGGTGTGCAGCACCCAAAAATACCCTGAAACTGTTGGATAATGTCCAATGAAGGGCAATTCGTCTCGTGGGTGATGCCTCGCTCACAAACTCACTCACTTCTCTGGAACACAGGTGTTCCCCGAGGCATATATAACCTTCAGAAATTTCAGAACACTATAATTCCTACCTTATTTCCCTTGGTTCTCACGATGTTCTCTGAACATTTCACATGATATCCCTTTTCGTGGGAACTAGTACATGAAAAAAATACCATAACGAAACCGTTTCCCCTTATTTCAGACGTACAACTGGACAGACAAAAGCATAGTCCTCTCGGCCTTCTTCTGGGGCTACATCCTGCCCCAGATCGCAGCTGGCTGGCTGGCCAACCGCTACGGCCCCAAGTGGTTCCTTGTGGGAGCCATGGGCGTCTGCTCCTTAGCAGGACTGTTTCTGCCTACCATGGCGGCGCAGTTCGGCTCGAGGGGAGTGATGGCTGCGAGAGCGCTGCAGGGACTGTCCCAAGGGTTCATTTTTCCTTCGATTCACAATCTGCTGGCGAAATGGGTGCCGCCTGGAGAGAGAAGTCGACTTGGCACCTTCGTATATGCCGGTAAGAAATAGGGATCATCAATTAATGATTATGGAGTTGTTCATACATATCTGATATTGAGAATAAGATGTGAAATGTCTATTGATTGACGATCCAAATGATGTTGAAGAAGTGTTTTGGGTTCTGGGTCCTCACAATCCAGGAATTCATGTAGGATATGAATAACAATTAACAATCTACAATCAACCCAAATGGATGCCACATGTAGAAAGAAGTCGACCTGGCACTTTCCTATATGCCGGTAGGTCAATATACTAGTGAACAGGAATGTTGAAAGATAAAGTTGGATTCATAGATCCAATCAAACTATCAATTAGGAATTATCAATTGAAAATAAATAATTAATAAGTATGAAGATGTTCGTACATATCTGATATTATGAATAAGATGTGAAATGTGTCTTGTTTGACGATACTAATGATGTTAAAAAGTGTTCTTGGTCTTCACAACCCATGAATTCGTTCAGAATATAATTAACAACAAAAAAAAATCAAAATAATGAAAGTGATAATGAATAGTTAACGGGTGATATTGCTGATTTTATAGTTTCAATAAAACTAACAATGACGAATTACCAATTAACAATCAGAAATTACCAATTGACAATCAATAATTGATAATTATGAATATGAAAATGCTCATACAATTCTGGTATTAATCAAGAATTAGATATGGCGATCCAAATTATATGTTAAAGAGTGTTCTTGGTCTCCACAATCCATGAATCCATATAGAATATGCCAAAAAACTATCAAATATATTCATGTTCTTCCTGTTTTGTCTCCAGATGTCGCCGATGTATGAGCCCTCGAAGATATATCTCCTTGTATTCAACTTTTCAAGATCTTAGTTGTTCGTTTAACTCACACATTTCTTGAGTCAGTCAACTTAGAATATGCGCAACTTTGCGAGTTTGTGACCTTGAAATCAGGAAAAGATAAGACAAATCTTCGAGACCAAGGATTTCAAAGGTAAATGAAATTAATGAAATTTTTTTTTCAGCTGGTCCCTTCGGTACCGTAGTATCAATGTTGCTAACGGGTTTGATAGCTTCGAGTTGGTACGGTTGGCCGATGGTATTCTACTCTTTCAGTGGAGCTGGATTAGCTTGGTGCTTCCTCTTTTCCTACTATGGTTGCGACGGACCATCACACCATCCGACGATAACCAAAGAAGAGCAGTTTTACATCGAAAATAGTTTAGGACACGCTGAACACAAGCCGGTGAGTACAGGGTGGGCAAAATTGGGCGTTTTCACCGTCTATCTCAATAACTAGAGGAGTTATCGAAAAACCGATATACATGTTCCGGGTTCAATTTTGGAGAAACCTCGAATGGTACAATCAAAATTTAGATATCTTCATTCGTTTTAGAGATACAGGGGGAAATTGAAAATTTGCCGATTTCGATTTTATTTTCTGACTACTTTACGGTGAGAGGTATCATAGAATTTCAAACGTATATTTATACAGTATGATGCGTGGAATCCATTGGCATCATCAGAAACTTTATACAGGGTGACGTTGAAAAGATACGGCAGCCAATTATGTTTTTTCTAATGGAACACCCCGTATATTTTGGCACAGTTGAATAGTCCCAGGCGTTCTCATTACGAATATATATATAACCTTACCTTCTTCTTCCACAGATATATTCGCAAAAATATATTCAGTGTGTCACATTTCTTATGGTTACACCCCCGTATCTTCTGTATCTGGAATTTGAACATCCTCTATAAGGCTATATTTTTCAACGCAACCTACTGATTTCCTAATTGAGTAAATTATTGGTCTTATTTCTGTATCTCAAATGTCTTGATAACAATGATATCAAATCGAATAATTTCCTATTTTATTTCTCACCAAATATCCATTTGTCTGGAAAAAACATTCCCTATGATATTCATTTTCCACCTTTGGTGAATATATACAGAATGTCATTTTCAACCTCGATTCTGCCTGTTGATAGCATTATCCAGAAATATCGATGATTCCATAGCTGCTGGCGAGCAGTGTTATCATTGGAGATGATCCCACTTGGTCCATGACTCCATGAGTGTATCATTTGTATCTTTCTGACAGTTGCGAATTTTTGAATCCTACCTCAATTATTTTTACAGAAGATACGGGGGTGTAACCATAAGAAATGTGACACACTGAATATATTTTTGCGAATATATCTGAAATTGTGGAAGGAAAAGGTAGGGTTATATATATATTTGTAATGAAAACGCCTGGGACTATTCAACTGTGCCAAAATATACGGGGTGTTCCATTAGAAAAAACATAATTGGCTGCCGTATATTTTCAACGTCACCCTGTATAAAATTTCTGATGATGCCAATGGATTCCACGCATCATACTGTATAAATATATGTTTGAAATTTTATGATACCTCTCACCGTAAAGTAGTCAGAAAATAAAATCGAAATCGGCAAATTTTCAATTTCCCCCTGTATCTCTAAAACGAATGAAGATATCTAAATTTTGATCGTGCCATTCGAGGTTTCTCCAAAATCGAACCCGGAACATGTATATCGGTTTTTCGATAACTCCTCTAGTTATTGAGATAGACGGCGAAAACGCCCAATTTTGCCCACCCTGTACTTGAATGATGATTACCACTAACACATAGCCACTGATCTTAGGCAAATACGCGACGGTGTTCCAGGCAGAAATTATTGTAATACATCATTGCGTAAAAGAATTGATAAGGTAAGAGTTCAAAGGGGAAACCATTGCAATCTATTCGGATAGCCAGGCGCAATCAAAGCAGTTAACTCAATGGAAGTTAACTCAAAGGTAGCATGGGACTGCTCAAAAACCCTAAATGAACTGGGCAGTCAGAACAGACTGACTCTAGCATGGGTATACGTTCATATATTCAGGGATTCTAAATTCTGATACCAATTGAGTGGATGGAGTCAGAATAACTAAATTCAAACCACTATCCGACTAGAGTTAGGGCAATTTCACCTAATTGTTCCCTCGACCCATTGGTAGGATACCCTAATATCCTGATTCTCGTATTCTGAATTACTTCAATTTTTTTCCATATTGGTAAATATGAAGTAAATAAGACGTGATATTTACTTAGGCAAAATAAGTCGTTGATCTATTGTGAGGGCAAAATGACGTATATTATACCTAAAATGTTTGATGAGCAGTAATCGGCTGGAAATATACAGGATCAAAACTCAATATTTTCTTGCAGAGAATGTCTACTCCTTGGAAAAAAATCTTCACTTCTCTGCCTGTTTGGGCAATTTTCCTCACTCAAAGTGGACACAATTGGGGCTTCTGGACACTTCTAACTGAAATCCCTGCCTACATGGGTCATGTCATGAATTTCAACATCAAATCGGTGAGTGTGTTTCAGAAAAGTTTCTCCAAATAGTAGTTTACCTAACATGTGCGGAAAGTGATAGTTGTCCTCACGCGATTGCAGATTGCCGAACGACGAGACAGAGTTACACAAAAAGCATTTCCTAACATGTTAGGTACAATATTTTTCTAATTTTGAGGAAAATGTCACACCTAACATTTTCGACCAATTGAAAGCCTGGAAGTGTTTTCTTCCTTCTTGGGGGAAGGAGCATGAAATCACGCTTATTTTTTATTATTTCTATTTCTAATATAGCTCTGTTCTCAAAAAATGCTGATGTCCATAACCATGCTATGAGAGCATCAAGTAAACTCAGAACTCCTAGATTCAGACTATCTGTCACTGAGCAAAATTCTATAAATGTCAGATATTTCAATGTTTTACCACCAGCTGCCAAATCTTCGAAGTTTATCCAATTCAAGAAATGGGAGAAAAATCATTTACTATCACATGCATTCTATTCAATTGAGGAATTCCTCTCATTTAAACATGGACACATGATACTCACCCCAGGGCGTTGTATTGATACGATCTTACTCACCTGGTTTCACTTTCAAAATTTCTAAATATTAATCTGAACTTGAATAAGCCATTTTCTACTAATAATTAGATGCATATGAAAGCTTAGAGATATTTAAGCATAGTAATAGAGTAATGAATAAGGATAATGGAAATATCCCATTTTGCCCACTGTATAGTTTAGTAATATAACATATCTATTCACGGTTGAGTTGACATATACGTAGTATATAAGTAGCCCACTAGGATAGAGCATTTAGTTTTGATCTTCTCCTGAAGATTCTAACATAGTTAGCGAAACACGTGTCGAGGTGTAAAAAAAAAGTTTCAAATTCCAATCGGCAATATTTACATCGGCATAAGGGAAAGAAGCACTAGCATTAGTATTCGTTTATATCCCTAATAGCACACAACGTCCTATTATAGGGACGTCCCTATTTGGTACAATTCACGTCCGAATGTCCCGAACCAAAAATAAGTGTTCTTGGGACGTTCCGTCCCGTACATCTCATGCAATGTCCGAGAAAGGACGTCCACGGAATGTTCCAGCTGGTACATCATTTCATATGTCCTAGAAATAGCATCCCTTAGACGTCCCACGTGGTACATATTGTAGAATGTCCATGCAAGGACGTCCTTGGCATGTCCCTGATGGGATATGATTTTAAACGTTCCTTTAGGGACATCCATCGAATGTCCCGAGTAGTACACATTCTGGCATGACTTCAGATCCTATATAATGTCCCTTCTAGACAGCCATGAAATGTCCCTGATGGTACATTCCTTCAAATATCTATGCACAGACGCCCTTAATATTTCCAGGATCGTATAACAATCGAAATGTTCCTTAGGGATATCCGTCGGATGTCCCAATTGGTACATAAACTTTACTCTTCCAATGTCCTAGAAATAACGTCCTATGGACGTCCCAGTCGGTACTTTCAGTATGTTGTTCCTGCGAGGACGTTAATTCACACCTCGCCGACAAATGATTGCTCGTAGGCCATAAGTACTCCTCATCAATGTCCTTCACGTGAGTCCATTGGACATCCTTGGGAAACTTTTTGGGGACCTTCTACGGACCATCAACTCAACTGGATGTCCTAATCAGTTATGCAAGATCTGGTCCTATAGGGACCCAGAAAAACTCAAATCCAAGAATAATTCGTACGTCCCTAGGACATCCTATGGACATCCAATTGGTATCCCTCAGCGTGCTGATAGGTTGTCCTATGGATGTCCTAAGGATGTCCTCTGTAGTGCTTGATGAGGAATACTGTAGGATTCAGGTATTCGATAGTTGTCCCAGGGACATCCCTCAAGGATGTCCCTAGTTGGTTCTCAAGTGAGACATTCGTGCGTCCCACAGACGTCCAATAGACGTCCACGGTACCAAATTCGAACGTCCTATGGACGTCCTGAATGTCCCGACAAGGCGTCCTAAGGATATCCATGGGACATAAGTGTGTTATTAGGGATATGCATCGATGCATAGATTTAAGGAGGGTGTAATTCAATGTTCTGCGTGGTATTAGCCAGGAACGAACTTGTTCACTTCCCGTCAACTACCATTTTTGTTCATTTTATGAACATTTGTGGAAATGACTTTGAGCTTTTTGTATTTATTCAAATTAATCATTAATAATATTGATATTGAACGTACAATTCATATCATTCTGCAAATTAATTGCTTTGTCACTTTTGTGACAAGTAAACTTTTCCGCATGCTAGTAGAAAAAATGTACTTATCCAAATTAACCATTCCAGAATAGCGTTCTCTCTGCCCTTCCGTACTTCGTTCTGTGGGTTATGAGTTTCGTCTTCAGCTATATCGCTGATCTATTCGTCAATCATAATATCTTCAGCATTGGAGTTTCTAGAAAAGTGTTCAACACAATAGGTAAGTCTGTCTTTACTCACCAACAAGACAAGGGCGGTCCTACGGGGGAGGGGGGTAGAGGGGGTCATCACTCCCCTCAGAGCATTACAACAGACCAATTTTTTCAATTGAAGTGAATTAGCTAATCAATTTAATTTGAATGACGCAACACTAATTTCGTCGCACCCCAAAATTTTGTCTATGTTAAAATACAGCTATAATCTCGTACTCATTTAAAAGCATAAGGTTCTTCATATAAAATCGCTACAGGGTGTCACCTGAAACTGTGAAAAATTTCGGAATTTTCAGAAGGATCCCAAATGAACAGAAACTTTTTTTTCTCAACTTTGACAGCAGAGGCATGAAGATGATCTCATTACCTAGGGACATTTTTCAAATCGTATTCTTATCTCTTTCATTTACAGAGTGATCTCAAAAAATTAACTTTCTCGTTTTGCAGTCATAACTTTTTTCCTTGTCAACCCATTTTTAAAATCTCATTTTGAAGTTGAAACTTCAGATGGAGAGTTATGAAGATCAGAATTGACTCAAGATGAACATTATACAGTTTGCCTCACTTCTAAAGGAAGCACCCCTGTATATTTCGTTAATTGTTGATTTAGGATTCTGAAACTCACAGGAACGGGAGATATACTGATAATGAACACTATGACCAAGTGGAGTCATCTCCAGTGATAAACACTGCTCGCCAACAGCCATGGTACCACCCAAATTTCCGAAAAATGTTATTATAGGAGCCAAGATAAGTTCAAAATCACTTCGGATTCGAAATCAGGACGTCCAGTTCACTGACTATACATATTTTGCCTGGAAAATTTTCAGTTCAGAAGAATTGAATTTTTTCTCACTTCTTCCCCGTTACCTCACGTAGTTATTGAGGAAGGGTTCTAAAATTTGCAGGGGTAAACAAAAAGGACGTCCTGATTCTGAATCCGAAGTGATTTTCAACCTATATCTTGCCTCCTTATATCATTTTTGTGGGTGGCTCCATGGCTGTTGGCGAGCAGTGTATATCCAGAATCCTACCTTAACAATTACGAAAGATACAGGAGTGCTTCCGTCATAAGTGTTCATCATGAGTCAATTCTGATCTTCATATGTCTTCACCTGAAGTTTAAGCTTCAAAAAGAGCCTTTTCAAAAGTTGGTTGGCAAGGTAAAAAGTAACGACTGCAAAACCAAAAAATCAATTTTTTGATATCACCCTGTAAATAATAGAGATAATAAGACAATTCGAGAACTGTCCCAAGATAATGAGATCATCTACATGCCTCTACTGTCACAGTTTAAAAAATAAGTTTTTTCTGTGACGGGAAAAAAGTTTGGCATTTCATCTCTGTTGGCGGGTTATAAAATATCACTTTTCATAAATTACTTTTTTCCCGTGGGACAAAAGTGAGTACTTTTTTTCCAGATATAAATCACATATACACTGTTGATAGCTTTTGTTGTGCTATAGTTCCGAAAAATGAGTCAATAATACCGTCTCCGACTTCGCTTTTACGTATATTACTAAACAACCACTAAAATCGCAATTTTTTGAAATCAAATCACAGTATTAGACTGACAGAAGTGACATCAGATATTTGATTACTTCAAAAGAATGATAAAGATGCCTACAACGCAGGTGTCCCTACTGTTAATAACTTAAAATTTCACGTCGATAATTTTCAGATTGCAAAATAATGTAATATCTTCTAAATATTGATTCGTCCTTTCTTCTGTCACAGGAAAAAAATAGTGTATTATACACGGGAAAAATATTATTTTAGCTCACGGTTTTTTGTCTCCCTCCGCTACAACACAACCTGGAGCTGAAATCTACTACTTTTTTCCCTTGTATAATAAATAACTATTTTCTTCATTTAGGATACTTTTGAAATTTCCGAAATTTTGCACAGTTTCGGGTGACACCCTGTAGCGATTTTATGTGAAGAACCTCATGTTTCAAAGAATCACGAGATTATAGCTGAGGGACTGAGCTAGCGAACAGTGTGATCTGAATTCAAATCGTTCAAAGCAGAAAAAAGTTATTCATATTTCAACAGAGGCAAAATTTTGGGGTGCGACGATATTACTGTTGCGGAGTTTATAGTTCGCTCTTCGCAGCTGTAGCAATTAGTGTATCCGGACCTACCTATTTATGCTGCAGTAATTCGTATTGCTGGTGCAGTTCTACAAATAAAATGGTAGATTTTCGGTATTCATGCATCATTCATGCATCATCAGATTCAAATTGAATGTTACTGTTTTCTGTTGCAAATCGGTCATTCAGATTCAGTGTAACATTGCCTGCATATTATTATTGCCGGAAATATGAATTGTGCAGCAATCAGTTGCCTGCTAGTCATAGAAACCATCCATTTTTCTCAAAGTGGTCCAGAATTTTTCAAAGAAAAAGACTCAAACCCAAAGTTGGTCGACCTCAAAATGGGCGTGTACACCTTAGTAGAACTTTTAACTCAAACCATGTTTATAATGATCCTTTCATACATAAATAATGATTGACGACATAATTCGATCGAAAAATTAACTGGAATGTTTTATTTTTGGACATAAATGATATAGTACCTTCTGAAAACGGACCCTCTTATGACGTAGAAACCTCATCTCGCCATAGTTAAAAGAAAATACCAAACGCCCGACGGAGACTGAGGCAACTTCTTTCAACTGTGATCTCGCGCTAATTCACTCTGTCAGAAATCATGTATCATTCATCTCTGTCTGGAATAGTCTTGTTTCAGTATCAGAGTTCTGACGTCACATCATCGTCTCGTTTTCAGAGGTCCGAAAAATCGGGGATTTCAATAATATTTTATAAAACGTAGGGAGCTCACAGCAAGAAACGGTTTGCGGTGGTGAGCTAGTTTGGGTGAGTTCAATCGACTTATGGAATAAAAATTGTTTGTGATATAAGCCCATTTTTCGGCCTACGGCCATGATCAGACACAATACAAGTACTTAAGAAAATTCATTTGCGAAAATTGATGGGTTCTTTGTATCGACTGAAGAATCAGAATTGCATGCAATGGAAAATTGGGAACTGTGAAGTCAATAGAAATAAGACAAAGAGCAAATATAATTTCCTGAAGATGTGAATACCTAGTTTGAATAATTCACAAGATGACTATCACCCCCATAGAGATTCACTCTAGGACTGCCCTTGCTACAAGACTCAAGTATATATATAATTTTGTTTTGCTGATGAACAGAAGTGAATATGGCTATAGTCATCAATGAACTAAGAAATGGAATTGAATGTTTGTATTTCGTTTGAATTTGAGAGCTTCTAGACGATTTTCTCAACGTCTAATAACTATATAGATTAGTCAGAATTAAAATTTTATGTTTTTCAATATAGTCACCTATATTCTTCTTCTTCTAACATTTTTCAAACAAGATGTAACGGATTATCAATTATTGAAGGTCTCCTTCAGTTTCTTATAGCGAACTTCCAAGTATACCGTGACATTTTGGAGCGAATCATCTATTTCAACATTACTATACAGTGTGTCCCGCTTCTCATGAATACACCCTGGTATCTCAGTTATTGATTATGCTATTCTCTTGAAATTTTAGCGGTGATTGAATGTTAGAACAATGAAGTATTTAGCAGAGTGAACAGTTTCATTCACCATTGACGTGCAATGTTGAGGGTTACAGAAAGGTCATTATTCGGAAAAAGGATATTAGGGCTTATTTTAAATAACTGTTTCCATCAGATTCAGGATCAGCATTCCCAAAAACCCCCAAATTCATATTTTTGAAATCTGAAGAAAAATTCTAAATCCTGCTTTTCATGACTACGCCCCAAAATCTCAGTTATTAATGATGCGATTTTCTCGAAACTGTGATGGTGATTGTATGTTATTTTCTTAACATACAATCATCATCAAAATTTCAAGAAAATAGCATCGTTGATAACTGAGACTTAGGGGTGATGAAAAGCGGGATTTTGAAATATTTTATTTCAGCTCTTGGGATCTTGAAAATATGAATTAGGGGCTTTTTGGGAATGAAAAAAGTTATTCGAAATGAGTCCTAATATCCTTTTCCCAAATAAAGACCTTTTTTGTACCCCTCAACATCGCACGCCAATGGTGAATGAAACTGTTCATTCGGCCAAATACTTCCTTATTCTAACACATAATCATTACAAGAATTTCAAGAGATTCGCACCATTGATAACTAAGATATCAGGGTGTATTCATGAGAAGCGGGACAAACTGTATATAAAATAAACAAATAAACAAACAAACAAACAAAGTAGTAGATTGAATGACGCGGCTCATAGCCATTAAGCCAGGCAGTCAATCTACATTTTCTGCCGTGTGGAACATAACTTTTTCTCCAAATGTTATGAAACCAATTTTGTGTAATATGTGTTTTATTGAAAACTACATCGTTTTTTGTTCACCTAATGTCAGTGTTAATTTTGATTACCAATTCCATTCAAATTACTTGGAAAGTTGCATAACAACAAACTTTTCATGCCTAGGCAGATAAAGTACATATTTCCTACCTGTTAAGTGACAGAGAAAATCCACTTTCTATGACGCTTCGAGAAAATATTACTGGACAGCAAAGTAGTAGATTGACTGCCGCGGTCGATAGTTCATAGTAGAGCGTAGCGAAGCTAGGAATTCTGCCAAGGCAGTAAATTAACATTTGCTGCCGTGTGAAATATATAAATTTCCCTCCAAATGTTATGAAACCAAATTTGTGTAATTTTTTTTTTTCAACTCCTACAAAGAATCACATTTTACGTTGTAATTTCAGAACGAAAAACCGACCATTTCCGAAGGCAAGTACTTTCCGTCCGCAGACACCAATTTTTCGTCCGTAAACACTTTTCGTCCGCTGCAGGGTTGCCAGTTCTACTGAATTTTCAGTAGATCTCCTGATTTGCATAATGATCTACTGGAAAAATTTTATAACCTACTGAAACTTGACACTTATTCATTATTATAGGTACCTATATTATTATTAATCTCTAGTTAATCACATACACTCATAAATCGCATGATATTTCGGCACGCTCTGTTTGAATTAATTGTACAAAATGAATAATTAATTAACATATAGGTACAAATGATATGTATAAACTGAAAATGGTTCAAATTTAATTTTTTATTTACACCTCTGTGATAACAGTTTGTTTCTAATACGTTTAATTTATTCTTTTTTTCTGTATTTTGTGTTGTTCATTTTTACTATTCGTACAATATATTCCTTTCTAGGGATTCGTATAGCATAAAATAGGTCTGAATTTTCGACAAGGTATTCACTGATCCCAGCGAGCACAAAAACATCTCAGAGATGTTAAAAGTACGAGATTTCGAGACATTGAACCTTCACTGCGATGTTCTGTTCACACATGAATAGAACTATTATAGAACAGCCAATGTCCGCCGCAGGCGGCAATTATCGAGATGATGTCCTTGATATGTCACAAAACAAAACTACCTTCTCCCTAGTTCTTTTTAAAGCCTCTTCATGGACACAACAAAACATTTTCAATTTAAAGCCTTTTCATGGACACAACAGAACATTTTCAATTTAAAGCCTTTTCATAGACACAACAGAACATTTTCAACGCGTCTATTTTCGAGGTACTTTTCTGAAGCCTTTTGTCAAAATGAACTTTTGCATTAGGATTCCATTTCTCTTGAATGAAAAAATGCATTAAAAATAGATTGAATATAAAAATATTTTCTTGATATGAAATTACCTTCTTAATCGGTTTCTGAGTAGAGTGCTTATACTACACACAGACATATAATTGGAAATAGGTTTCCCAATTTTTGAAATGTTCTCCACAATGCATAATTTTGCAACTGCGGAGAAGCTGTGTATTGATGAATTCGTACTTTTATATATTGATTACACTGAGGCACCGACCAACACATCTTGCATCTGATGGTCATTATTACAAACTAATAAGTCTTCTAACACAATAAACTTCACCAAATTCCTTTATGTTCGTTAGCAGCGTGATGTAAGCGTGACACGCTGCAAACGCGAATGCCAATTGCGAACAAGAAGAACAAAATCGAAAACAAATCAGAATTCATCGTGTTGTGACGTAAGCATGAGACGTTGTGGTGGGGCAAACAAAGAAAGGGCACAAAAGAACAAAAACAATACTTCAATATCCTTCAAACACCTCTTTGGTCAGTGCAAATTACGTCTCAAAATAACATCTTCATGCCAACATTTTCAAAACATCCCAAAACATCCCAGGGATGTTTGTGCTCGCTGGGATGAAATGAAAATAAAACTGGCAACCCTCGTCCTCGCGGACAGTTGACAACAACTGTCATTTGATATTGTTAAATTAATTATTCACGAAATCCGATAGAATTCACGTGTGAAGGCAGTTCCTTACTGTTACTCACTCAATTTTAATTTTAGGTCTGATAGTACCAGCCATCGCCCTGGTATTCCTAGGGAGTACTGGTGAAGATGAACACAATAAAGCCATAGCTCTACTAGTTGTAGCAGTTGGAATCAACTCGGCCATATTTTGTGGTTTCAATGTCAACCACATGGATATATCGCCTAACCACGCAGGTCCTCTGATGGGTGTTACAAATGGAGCTTCTAATGTATGTGGAATAATCGCTCCACTTGTAGTTCAATTATTAGTCACTGATGAGGTAAGTCGCATATACAGTGAGGATCGAAATCAATGCACTTGGAGATTTTTTTTGATTTTGTTATTGACTGACGATCAAATCAATCTAATTGCGAATTGTTGGAAAATATTCAATATACCTGATATCGCGAATGCCGATCCAAAATGTTTCGTTTGAGGTCCGTATATAGGGTCAATCCGTATAATTAAACAGCTTCTACAGGGTTCATCATTGATTATAGAAGAAAACCTCAAATACATCTGTTGTAGGGTTTGTTCTGAACCTCCAGAGAATTGTACGAGGTGAAACAAATGTATATCGCTGATATAAGAAATGGGCACAAGCTTCGTTATTTTCAATGGAACACCCTATATATTTTCCGAAAAATATGGATATCTTTCTTTTCTGATTTCAAAAATATGTAAGTTGTTGAAATTTGATCAAGGGCTTTTTCATGCATCATTGTCTCAGTCTTAGTCACAGTCTTTGTTTTAACAAAGAATAAGATAAATTATAAGACAGTTCACTCGTTCATTTTTCGACTTCTAAGAGATCTCGCCGCAACCTAGCCGACCGCTGGATTCTGCCGGCTAACGACTGCCGGAGCCTTTGAAATCGCAATCTAATTAGCTGTCAACCGACCGCAACCGTTTGGCGGTGCAATGATTTATAGAAAAACAAAAAATGCAATATTGGGCTGTACCGACAAACGGATTTCACTAAGTGAACTATCTTCTAGAATTCAGTAATCTTTGGTTTTAATCATGAAATCAAGATATGAGCATACATTTCAATAGGTGAATCTATGCAACATTTTAGTCCCAGTCTCAATCATAATAATCATTAAATCACGACCTTGAAAGTTACGAACTTTCAATTTTTACGCTTATGATTGAGACCACATAAGATATGCGCATGTGTGGACCTATCAACATATTTGACAATCACGTATGACTTTCAATTTTGTGTTTGTCACCAGAAAATCAGTGCCATTCTGTGCTGTGTGAACAATTGATGACATCATTCTGATAATTTGATTACATTTGATAACTAATATCAAATAACCATGAGCCTGGAAGAAGGAACCCTAATAGATTTGGTGGAAAAATTTTCTCATCTTTGGGACAAGAAAGAATCAAAATACAAAGATAAAATTGCAATAAAGAATTCCTGGAAATCATCAAAATTTGCTCAAAAACCTGCTTCGAAACAAAATATTAGAATTGGCAGTTGACATTATTGACACCTCAGTTGTCATTTTTGACGGATTGTCAATTGTCATATAATCCTCAAGCCAAATATGATTAGTTGATATTCTATCCACCTTGGGTAAGACTATGATTAATATTCGAGGTCGAGCAATTTCGATTTGGTAAAATAAAAGTATAACTAATTCTGAACTAACCTCGAATATTTCATCAACCACTGGACCATCTATTTTTGAAAGTGTGAAGAGTGTTCCATTGAAAATAACAAAGTCGATACCCACTTCTTATATCAGCGATATTTATTTTTTCCCCTCGTACAATTTTCTGGGCCTTCAGAACAAAGGGCCCTGGATTTTTTAACATGGATTTTTAAAAACTCTCATTGTCCTGAAATCAACGGAGCAACGAAATGGGTGTTTGTTCTTAATCCTAGTTAAAAATCTATTCTTTTTTTCTCTCTCTCTCTCTTTCTCTCTCTCTCTCTCTCTCTCTCTCTCTCTCTCTCTCTCTCTCTCTCTCTCTCTCTCTCTCTCTCTCTCTCTCTCTCTCTCTCACACATGAGTTCATTTGGAAAATACCAATAATAATATGAATTTTCCGTATAATACACCGTTGAAAAATCGGTTTGAAAATCTGATAACACCATCTTGTAGACCAAAAAAAATAGCAACGAGAATGTATAATTTGTTTTGTACATCTATCCGAATAGTGTCAGAAAAAAATAAAAATGAAATCGCGAATATTCAGAAGAAGAAGAATCTTCGAAAGTATTCGAAATTTCTCAAATCTCAGAACGACATTGTGTTAGACAAAAAATTGTGCAATTTTGTCCTCTTTTAACCCTTTAATTCTCTAGATCTTATCGTTCACCCCTTAGCACGCATCTACGACAATTTCACTCACCTGGTTAATATTTAATATCTATTCAAACGAAACTTGAAACAGTACTGAATTATACTTATAACCAATGATTGAATAAAAAACTATACATTTTTATTTATGAATTACTTTTTTCTCGAATCAATCAATTGATTTTAATAAAGTTTTCGTTCATATCCGCCGTTGTTGTTTTGATACCATGATAGCCGATTTTCCGTTAGTTTTCATAACCCATTGATAGTTCCAATTCTTGACGTACCTACCCTGTGTATTGATTTGTCATGAATATATTTCAGAAAGATCCAGAACAGTGGAAAGTGATATTTTACCTCACTGCCTCAATTTATGCAGCTGCTAGCTTGATCTTCGTGATTTTTGGTTCAGGAGAAATTCAACCTTGGAATGATGAGGAGAAGAATGGTATGATATTAGGTTATACCAATGTTGAAAAAAAAGTTGTTACAAATACAGTTATTTATTATCATCTCATGCATTTCTTTTTTTTTATAGGAAAAGAAAAATCTGAAGCCTGACATTTCTCGTTCTTCAGATAAGATGAAATGGCTGTGATATATGAGTTATTCAAATTTAAGGAGGAAATGGGAATTCAAGAGCGTTTATCACCCAATTTATTTTTCATTCAGAAGTAAACGCAAAACCGAGCACTGAGGAAGGACTAAGCAAAATTCATTTTCGCCACAAATCATTGAATTCAGAAACATCTTCTCCACTGACTAACAAATCAAGGAAGAAAAATTGACAGTTTCTGAGGATGATTAGATATTGAATCAATGGTTCATCTCCTGTTTTGAAAAAGTAATTTCATTCACGTCAAAATCAGATGATAAATGTCAATGCTACGGCTTGGGGCATCTCCCAGTATAGTGAATCAAATTATCATACGTAGGTTAAATCAGAATATAAATCAAGACAAGTTATACCAATAGTCAGTATTATCTTCAATCAATTTCATCTACCTCTATATTTTCATTATTCAACGGAATCGATATGACGATCCATTCAAATGCATAAATATAGCCATATCAGTTATCAACACACCATTTTAATAATTTTTTTTTTATCTCACTGGATCTCACAAGGTGATTTTAACAGGGTGGCGTAACAGATACAGGTCGGTTGAAGGATGGTGAAGTTATGCTCAACAAAATGGCGTTTTGAATAGATATATAAAAAAACCGTGTACTAAAATCTCCTCGTCTTCCCGGAAGCATCATCAACTTATTTTTTTCAGAAACGGACCTGGATTTTTAATTTAATTTTATCACACCTCAAAAAGCTTTAAGCTATAACAAATTTTTATTTCCGAATGTTTCATTTACAAAAATTGATATTTTTTTAATTTTTTCAATATTCAACACGAAATTTTCAATATAAGTAACCGTTTATACGTCCATGTAACCGACGCTGTATCTCTCACGGTTGATAAAGCTCGAATTCCAGCCACTCTGTACGCATATTGATCACATCAAAAAGATGCAATCTCTCTAACGAATATTCCCTAAACAATATCAGTGTTCTAATGAGCGATAGAATCTTCATCTTGACCATTGAACAAAAAATAAATGGAAAGTAAAGTACGTCAATTCAAAATATGCATACTTACTTACTTACAAGTAAAGTACGTCAATTCAAAATATGCATACTTACTTGAGCCTTATTCTTAGTGTCTAGATTATACTGATTATACAGAGTGTCCGCTAAAAGGAGGTCAATCCATTAACCATATATTCCTTGAACAACAACAATATGAGTTTCTAAATACCATTTTTCATTGTAGCCCTTCACATTCGATATACAGGGTGTCAAAGTTGGAAATTAAAAACTGTATTTTTTCAATTACTCGCGTATTTAATAAGATATTAATCTCAAAATTAGTACATCACTTCAGCACCAAGAGTTACATCGTGCGAGGAAAACAAAACAGAAAATAACTGTCAAATATTCAAAATACAGGGGGTCAACACACTTACCCCCATATTTTTTTTGTACGTGCGCTAATGACTTCCTATCTATTTTTCTTCGAGTGGTCGATCATTTTTGAGTATTTTTTGTCTCTTGTAGAATTTTGATGAAATCATTTGTTTTTAAGATAATTCGAAAAGTACTGGTTATTGTTTGATGCCTATGCGGCTTACGGTAATCTCATAATGTTCACATACCCCTATTTATTTCGTCGAAATTGGAAGAGGGCGTAACTTCTTACGAACGAAAAGGTAAATATGGAAATACCCGGTGCTTGAAGCGAATGTATTTATATAATGTTTACCAAAAAAAATTGATAGAAATTCAACACGTCTAAATGAATTGCTCGATATGACCTCCAAGTTTTTGAATACACATGCGATAAATTTTTTATTTTTATTTTAATTTTTAAATAAATAAAATCTTAGCCTATGAAAAATATGTGGCTAATACACAAAATCATTCTTACATCCCCAGACAATCCTAATCTGCTATTTCTTTCATCAAGTAGTTATTAAAATCATTGATATCATAATTTCACCTAAAATTTCCGAAAATATTTTTTTTATTTTTTTCCGATTATATTTCCCGTTCCTTCGCGCACGACATACCATACGGGGGAGGGCTCGAAAATATTTTCAAAAATTCCGCAACCCCCAAAACCGCTCAAACCTATTTTAAATTTTTTTTAAAGAATTTGCTGTTCTCGAAGAAAATCAATTTATTAATTCTTTAAGTGGGCTCGTCAATCGATCCCCCATTCTTCTAAAATCATTATTTTCCCGAAATTATTTAATTAAATTAATTAAAAGGGCCCGCATGTGTATTCAAAAAATTGAAGGTCATGTTTGACCATTTGAAGAAAAATAGATGGGAAGTTATTAGCGCACGTACAAAAAAATATGGGGGTAAGTCTGTACTTGACCCCCTGTATTTTGAATATTTGACAGTTATTTTCTGTTTTGTTTTCCTCACACGATGTAACTCTTGGTGCTAAAGTAATATGCCAATTTTGAGATCAATATCTTATTGAGTACGTGAGTAATTAAAAAAATACAATTTTCAATTTCCAACTTTGATGGTTAATGGATTGACCTCCTTTTAGCGGACACCCGTATATATGCAGGAAACAAGGTGTTATTCAAGTATGCCGCCAAACTTCAAATCAGTTTTTCATTATTTCGATCCTCAGAAACAAAGTGATATACAAAACTATGACATGACCCACTGCGACGCCACTAAGATAGTTATTCTGAATCTAATTACACCAAAAGAAGCATCTTGATACTGTTAAGAAAATCACGAAGTTTCATTGAAATTGGGAAAGAAAAATTTGAGGAATTAATAATAAAAATGATTTTTTATTGAAATTTTGACACTCCTGTATCTATATAAACTTTTCGTCTTAGAATTACGTTTTGCCACATACTCGAATGACACTCTGTATATTCAAATGTCACCCTGTATGACCAAATGATTTTATCATAATTTTACAGTTGTATATAGCACTATATTTATTGTTAAATAAAAATGATAATGATTCATTCATTTTTTTAATTCTTCCTACTGGAAGCGACATTTATTTGTGGACTTTTTAACCCGAGTCAATTATTGTACAGATATTTACAAGTATATTCAGGTATATGAATATGAAAAAACTACATGAATTGGAAAAAAAACCAATTTCCCAAATCATTTAACAGTTTTGATATTCTGAATACTTGAACATATTATCCTCGACGATATGGCGATCCACTGCACTTACACAATGAGGAATTGAGTAGAGTCTTATCATACCGACTACTTGGTGATCTGGAAGAACCTACAGAAGGATAGTCTATAGATTGACCACGCATAACATAATCAGGCATGCTTTCGTCCTCAATGCGACTATAGTCCAAACCAGGACTAGCAGGGAATTGCATACTCTCGTCCTCAATGAAACCATAGTCCAAACCAGGGCTACCAGGGATTTCCATACTCTCGTCCTCAATGAAGCCATAGTCCAAACCAGGGCTACCAGGGAATTCCATACTCTCGTCTTCAATAAACCCATAATCCAAGTTCTGGTTTGGTGGGAAGCCCATCATGCTTTCGTCCCCAATGAAACCACAGTTTAGTTCGTGGCTATCAGGAAAATCAATGGTCTCGTCTTCTATGAAACCGTAGTTCATTCCTGGACTAGGAGGGGGAGCGCTTGGCCTATCTTGCATAAATCCAGTGTTCAGATCTGGGCTGGCAGGATAATCAATGGTCTCGTCTTCTATGAAACCGTAGTTCATCAAATTTTCAGGTGGAAATGCAGGCTCAGCTGTTGTTTGGGGACGAGGTGGTGACTGTCTGCTTGGTTGCGAGTAATAATTTTCAGGTGACCAGATATCACGTGACTTTTTCCATTGGTGATTCAAAAGTTCTCGAACGGAAGTTGCGTATCCCACAGGTGCGCCTGAAATCAATATGTGAGTATTTAAAATGATGCAAATCAGAAAGCTTTCGATATTTGGTTGTGAGTTTTGCCACCAAATTAGCTCTGTATAGTGATCACTGGCTCCGTAGTTCCTCACCTCTAGAAGCTTGTGGAGTAGCATAGCTACCGTCCAGAGCAATTACACTCAGATGAACAGCATTAGGAATATTGGCAACCTGGTTAGAGGTAGTTTGCACATTCAATACTTGAACACGATTTGCCTGAATATCTGCCAGTGCCTCTCTCTTGCATTCTTCTTCCAATCTCTCGAACTCTTGTAGCGAATCCTCTTCATCAAAAGCTGGTCCAGCCTGTGGCCTGGGTATTTGTGACCTGGCTACTTGTGGCCTGGCTACTTGTGGCATGGCTACTTGTGGCCTGGCAACTTGTTGACTAGTGACAGGTCGAGGAGATGGTGCAGCGACAGGTTGGGGAGCTGGTGCAGCGACAGGTCGAGAAGGTGCAGGAGCTGGTGCAGAAACAGGTCTCTGTCGTCTTGGTTGACTTTCTCGTATGGAGGGAGTATCTGGAGTTCTCACTGGGATACGCATTGCCACTCCTGGGACTTTCCGAATAGCCCCGGTTGGTCTAACCTGTGGTGTTGTGGGGGCTCTGGGAGTAAGCGGTCTAGGTGTAGGTATGCTCTGAGGTATTCCAGAATACCTCGGTGGCTCAGCTCTTTGAGGGGGTAGGACTCTCTGAGGTGCTTGGGCTGTAGTAGGTCGTACTGTCTGCCCAGAGTAGGGCCTAGGTATAGAACTTGGTGGGTACTCTGCAATCGGTTGTTCCACTGACATCCTTGGTTGCGAATTTCTCGATAATCTCATCGAAGTTCCTCCCGTCACAAGGTTTCGAGATTGCATTGCAGGTCTATTGGGGTCGAAGAAATTTTCATTGTATTGAAATTGCTGCACTTCACGAGGAAAAGATTGCCGCATTGGTGGCCATTGAGGAGTTTCACCTGGGGTCGTTGGGAAGTACTGGGGTGGCAGAGGAGAGTTCGCTCCTGATTTGGGTGCGCATTTGACAGCACATCCTGGACCTTTGCTTCTTGAGGAAGAAGGTGGAGGTTGGGATTGACTGGTAGTTCTAGTGGTACTAGGGTCGACCTTGGAGGGACATTTCATGCATCCCTTTTTCGTGCTCATATTATATAATCACTTAAATTTTTATAGAGGAAGATCGAGATCACACGCTTTAGTCACTGCAAATTTTGATGAACATTGAAGGCAATCAGGTTTTCATAAAGTGCCGAATATAGAAATTGACAGTAACATTTCAGATTTAGCGCATAGGTGATTGACAGATAAATATACAGGGTTATTTGCTATATCTTCATGCCCGCGTATAAGTGGATAGAGAGTGTTCAAAAACTCAATGGTTGCTATCATTTTGGGTTTCTGTTCCTGTATGGGATCCATAGACTGCTAAAACCATAAGAAAGAAGCTATGCCTCTCACAAAACATGATTGTAGAAGGATGTTTCGACATTTTCAAAAATGTTTCATTTCATGACTGTATTAATTACCAGCGAGCACAAAGATTCCTGGGATGTTTTGAAAATATTGGCATGAAGATTGTTTCGTTGAGACGTAATATGCACTTCCCAAAGAGGTCTCTAAAAGATATTGAACTATTGTTTTTGTTCTTCTGTGTCATTTCTTTGTGTGCCTACTGAGAGGTATCACTATGGGTTTGTTTTGCGATGTTCCAAAAATTTAGGCATCAGGATTTTTTTTCAGACTTCCATAGAGGTCTTTAAAGGATACTGAAAGTATTGTTTCTGTTCTTCCTGTAGCATTTCATTGTTTGCCTACTGAGGAAGTATCCCTGGGATGTTTCGGTATCTTTGAGAAATGTTGGCATGAGGTTGTTTTTTGAGACGTAATATGACCCCTCAAAGAGTTCTTTGAAGGATATTGAAAGTATTGTTTTTGTTCTCCTGTGCCAGTTCTTTGTTTGCCCCACCACAACGTTTGCTTAATAGACATGAAAAAATCGAATGTCGCTCTGACGTCAAACTCGATTACAGAATTAATGTCTTTGAGCAAGTGTTTTCTGATAATTTCTCATTTTGATGGCATTTTCAGGTGATCAAAGAATTTAGTAAAAGTGTTTTGAATGTTTGTGTACCTTCCATTCTTTCTAACAAATTTGGAATGAACATTGAAGACAAATTGAACAATGTATTTTCACAGCCATTTCCATGCATCACTTCACATCATATTATTTACAAAATTATTCGAATATATCAAAATTATCATAAATCCAACCGTCTAGCTGTAATACACCTTTTTTGCGAAGCAGACTGAGATACAACTCTGTCTGGTGATGGAGAACCAGATTGCGATCTTGGTGATGCCTGTAGTATGTCTGGAGATGCATCCGTCCATCCTCCCTGATCTTCTTCGCCTGGGCCAACAGCCACCAACTGCTGCCAACGACCAGGGCTCATCTCAGGAGAGTTTGGCAAACTCAAATGAATGTCTTGCATAGGTTCAATCATAGCACCACGACATTGGGAAAGTTTCAAATGCCCTGCATACACCGGGGATTCGAAAGACGTCTCATGAGCTGGGAATATTGGAGCTTCATCAACTGGAGAACAAGGAGATTGTGACCTCTGAGGAGTCCTAGCTGAAACAATTGGAGCGCAAGGAGATGGTGACCTCTGAGGAGTCCGAGCTGACGCTGCCATTGGTGTACGAAGGGGTGAGAGACGTATATCTCGAGGTGGTCCCAACTGAACCAAATTAGGAAGACCGAATCTATCCTGCTGTGGAGAGTTTCCTGAGGGTGGCGGTGACTCGTATTGAGGTGCTTCCATTTGCTGATCGAACAGCATCCCTCCACCTGCTCCAGCATCCCTGAAATGTTCCGGGCTTCTGACTTGAGGGGGACTTTGAGGGAAATCGTAATCAGGTGATTCTCCCACCAAGAATCCTGTATCCAAAACTGGCGGCGTCCTTTTTTCTTCCCTCCTTTGGAAGGCTTGTTCAATATTCGTGAAGTTCGAAGGAACGTTCGCCTGTGGAGACATTTGAGCTGGTATTCTAACTCGAATCGGAGATCTTTGTGGTGGTGGCCTAAATGGACTTTGTGGCTTGATTCTCAAGTGCTCAGGTGTTCTATATCCAGGCACGGTCGTCGGTGAACATGGCGATTGTGGAAGTTGCTGCACTGGACCTTCTACTTGAATCGCGTCCAAATCCACCGGCTGACCCGTCCTCAAACTGTCAATGGCCCTTTGCATGGCTGGATCTTCTGGTAGAACATCTCTCCTTGATCTAGGTGTTTGAGGTTGAGGTGGGGGAGAGTAATAGGGATCAACTCTGGCGGGTTGGGCAGCTCTCTCGATAGCTGGTAGTCCGTATTGGTCGAGAGGTGGTGTTTGTTCCTGTACAGTAGGCATGGATGGTGGACCCGGTCGTTTTCTGACTATCGTGTCTCTGGGTACTCCGCCAACATCCTCGAATTCCATAGACCATGACTTCCGTAGATGATCTCTCAAAGACGGTCCTTGTGGTGCGGCTTGGTACGCTGAAATCAAGCATTCGATGTATGTACAAAATATACCATGAATGTCACAGAACTATTGATTGATTGTCTTTATTAACCCAAGAAACATAGTTATATATATATATATATATAGTTCATAATAGGGATACATAAACAATATACATAATGTTATACATACAATTATGAAATCATTATAAGATATAACAAGTAAAAAAAAACATGCTAATAATCATGCAATATCAACCTTGTCTTTTATAAGTAGGTATTCAAATAAGAAATGGAATTATCAAAGTCTCTGAAGCAGATATATTTCAAAATTTAAAATTGAATTAAAAAAACACATGATTTCATTACGAAATGGATAAAATTGATACTTTGCCATCTACTGATTAGTCCCTGTGGGTATTTTTATGACTTGATCGATTTAGCATTTTTAGATTTTTCAGATTTTTATTGTTGTTGTTGTCACCTTATATTATTTTATTTTTGTTGTTTGTAATCAACTTCCTTATACCGGAATTTTATTTCTGACTGGAAGCTAGTTTTTCAATAAACAATAAACAATAAAGGTAATTTTGAATCTAGTTGCTTCCTGTATATTGATTGTCTTTATTACCCCAAGAAACATTATTGTTTATAATAGGGATATATACCTGTGTTGACGAATCCAATACAATTTTCAATTGTCGAATGGAAAATAAAAATATTATTATTATTATTATTATTATTATTACAACAAAACATACATATAAAACATAATAAATCGAAACAATAATAATTGCACAATTATTGTTTTTCCTAAAAAAAAAGAATTATAATAAAATATAAAATGAAAATATCATAATCCATTACAAGTAATCAAATTGTGAATGATTGGTACTATTAAAGTTTACTAAGCAGATATTTCTTTAATTTCATCTTAAATTTTTTTGCTTCTTTTATATTTTTCAACTCATTAGGTAAGGAGTTATACAAAATTATTCCATTATGGAATATTGATTGTTTACCAAAATTTGACTTATAATTATTTATTCCTCAATTGACTTGGTAATGAGTTGTATAGAACAATTCCTGTGTGAAAAATCGATTGTTTGCCGATATTTGACTTGAACGTATTTGCTATTACTAAATTTGATTGTCTTGTTCCATGATTATGTAATGAATTGATTTCATTGAAATTTAAATTCGAAATTTTCAATTTATATAGGACAAATTGAATGAAACAACATATTTTAAGTTTATATAGTGAAGTCAGATCTAATAAATATCTAGGTTTGTATAAATTCATGGTTGGTTTACTTAATCTGAATTTCAAGTTATACTTTCTGAATTACAATTAACTATTCTGAATTACAACTTGTACTTTCTGAATAACATCTTATACTTTCTGAATCACAATTGAAAAAGGTGTAGTGTGAATACTGAAAGCTACAACTCACCTCCTC